GATCCACAGCTCAGATACTGGGACAGATTTAGAAAGACTGGGAGAGAACTGGCGTCGGCTGTCGCACTCTTACCCAGATATTGTTGATGTTTATGACTACAGCATTTTGCTCAGACGCCTCCACGCTGAGGCAATCATTTAAAGATAACTAACAGGGGATGTTTACTGTGACAGTGTCGTGTTTGCTATAATTAACCTTTCCTGTTGAATGTCAGTCACACTCCTGCTGAAGAACTTTGTTTGAAGGGGTTTGTTTGTGGTCCTTCTAAACATGTTGTTAAGTCATAAGTGTTATTTGTAGCTGCCAATTATGAGATGAGTTAGCTGCTGAGTTGGTCATTACTACAGCACTGAGTAACACTGCTCATTATTCTGCCCTTCCACGTACCTATAGGGTTGGCGTTGTATGTCCTCTTAGATGCGTTTGTGTTCAGATTGTTCCTGATTTAAATCATATTAAATCAAATCATAGCCGGTGTGAAGCTATTTTATTTTGGCAAAGGTCTTGTATGGCTGCTTGTGTAGAGACAGCATTCAACGTGTGCGATGGTTGGCTTCTTTTGCTCAATGAAAACAAGAAGCATGTTCATATTTCTCAAAATAAGGTATACAAAAACACCCATCATTACAGGACCTGGGTATCATATTTGCAACAGTATCAAAACATTTCAAACGACACCCAGTGACGGTGAGTAGGGCTCATTTTCATTTTCATTGAAAAAAACTATTAAAATCTTGTTGGGGTCTGTCCCAAAAAACATGTTTATCTGGAGAACAAGATTTGTAGGCCAGTGCATCTACTACTACTACTGCAACGCTCCATTAAAATGCTGCCTGTCACACATTTTAACTTTTAAGAAAAGATCACAGCTGTGATTTGGATACTATTTCGATGAATTGTGCAGCCCTACTGGTGAGCTAATTTTAGCATAGCCCCTCAAGAAGAAACTCATTAGAAGTGAAGCCCAAAGTGGTGGAAAACACTTTACTTTTGGGATTCTGGAAATTGAAGCAAGAGGCTTTGCGAAGAAGGAAATGAAGACCAAGTCTGAGTGGTTAGAAGAAAAATCTCATTTAACACACGTCAGTGAACAGTATGTGGGCTGGTTTCACTTGACAAAATGAAGTCTTTAAATAGATTTTGATGTTTCTCTGAATAACATGGAAACCAATTCCAATTTACAGTTGATGTTTTTAACACCGGCGGTCAGGGGGCGTTATCAGGATCCCCTAAACGTGTCACAGTGTCAACCCTTGTGGCTATATTTGCCTTTTTATCTTAAACACAAGCCACTATGATTACCATCATCATCATCATCATCCATCATGGGTATTGACCAATGGGCTCCTTCGATTCCCACACAACTGAAACATTCCGCAACATTCCGGAATGCTGTTGAATGATGGTTCCCGTGGAAATGGAATGCTGAGAAGATTCCATCATGTGACTGTGCTTACAGTAGATACTAAAGTTAGAGTCATTAGAAATAGACTCTTTGGTGTAATAATACTGGAGAACTGACAGCCGAGACTGTTGCGGTCTGGGTATTCTTCCTTTAAATGTTTATTTTTAATCCGGAGAAGGCTGACTGAGCAACATCTTTACTGGAACAATTGAAAATCTACGTTTCAAGTCGAGTCTTTGCAGAGTTTGTGGTGTTTGTGGGTGTCCAGGTCTGAAGGATGGAGTGTCGATGCTGTTCTCAGTTTCCATCAGCACATTTATTTCTACTTCAATCATACATATTTCCCAGAATGCTGACAGTGCCCCACACAGAATCCGGACTGCGGTTACTGTGTATGTTTAGGAAACAACAGCATGATGGTTTGCTGATTGATTTTCAGTTGATTCATTAAAAGAAAAAAGCAATGATGACCTGCTTTGTTGTTTAAAATGAAAAGAAGGTGAAAGATGTCTGATTGCTGAATGTCAGAGCACAATGTTGGCTCTAGAAAGAAGCCGTCACTCTTTGATTCAGATGTTTACATGGTGTTTCAGACTGCTGATTGCCTGCTGGTGAAGGTGGGGGTTTACTGAGGCTCTGTTCTGTACTGGAGGCCTAGTGAAGAGAGTATGGAGTTCTCCACCAAATCCTTTTGTTAGCACTTGGTCCAGGACACAACTCAGATTCATGTGTTCACCAAAATCCTCACAGTCCACCACACTGAACTACATGTGGATATTGTGTTGTGTTGTTGTCTCTTTGTCCCTGCCCCTGGCTGGTTGTGTCACACTGAGTAGCACAGGTTGTCACAGTGATACCATGGTAGCACTGGTGACACAGGGAGCATGAGCCTAAACTGGTGTCATTTTTAGACCACGTCAGTTCTTTCAACCGTTATTTATTGTATGACATTGTATGTATGTATATGTATGACTTGTATATTACATTTGAGGACGTCACGTTGGGCTTTGGGAGCCTGACCAGTATGGGATTATAGAGGGGAAAAAGAACTCCGAAGGCTACTTTCTGATACAAATAACTTTATTATAAAATAAAGAGAATGCCAACCAAATTGTCTCATTGTGAGAGCTGCTCCCTCTCTCGTACTCTGTGCTGCTTGCCACAGTATTGTAAAATGCAGTACACAAAAGGTCCTGCAGTGACACCAATATATTAACACAAGAATTATATGCATTATATACCAGAAATAAACAGTTTATTGGTGCATATTGGATAACTTATACGCTGATACTGATATGTCTGTGATAGGCCAGGAATGAATTATACCAAATAACTAACCGAGAAAACGGTCGACCGATTATTCCATAATGAAAGTAAATGTTAGTTACAGCCATAATGAGATGTCATCTCATGCAGTCTATAGAAAAACGTCTATTCGAATGAAGAAAAGATGATCTCAGAAAAGATGAACTCATGTCCAGATTGGTCCAAGTTGACACCCTCTTTCCACAGCTGACTGGGTTTGTCAAAGAATCAACCCGGAGTGAAAGTTCTCGCACCAGAGCTGCAGGAGTCTGCTGCAGTGCTTCAGAAAACGGCAGACGCTCAGGAATTTTTATATACGGGAAAAAAATACTGAAATGTAAAGCAGATTCTGAGTCAGCCTTTATTGTTGCTGCATTGAAAGTGTACTGAATCGTGACACCACTGTAACTTATCATAATGTGAATTTAGTGAAATGTTGGACTAATTCAAACAACTGAATGACAGTCAAATTCAAATGATATCATGCAGAGCTGTTTTAAAGAGACGAAAACATTTGGGCCTCAGTAACTACTTGTCTCACTCACAATGTGTGAATTGTGTTCTATGGTGGAATGTTAATTACCAGCAGAGAGCAGATCATCCTGTTAAAGCCTGAAACTCAACGTGACTGAAGCACTACCCAGATGTTACTACTGCACACACACTCTTAGCTCCCTCAAACATCTGCTTCACTACTTTGTTAAACATACGTGTGTGTGTGTGTGTGTGTGTGTGTGTGTGTGTGTGTGTGTGTGTGTGTGTGTGTGTGTGTGTGTGTGTGTGTGTGTGTGTGTGTGTGTGTGTGTGTGTGTGTGTGAGACTCAGATAAGCAGGAGTGATAACAGTGATTTAAACTCCCATGTGTTGAAGAATCACCAGGTCAGCCATAAAAAAACAGTGACAGATGCTCTGCGTGTGTGTGTGTCTGTATTGTATGTGTGTGAGCATGGGTGTTCATTAATGTCTGTGTGTGTATGTTTTCACAGTTGTTTATCTCAGCAGGTCTTGGTGCTCAGGGTTACCTCTGGGCTCTGTGTTCCAGTCTTTGGCTGTGTGTGTGTGAGTGTGGGTGTGTAAAATATTGTCCTTTACACAAACCTGGGCAATGTATTGATTATAGTATCAATATTGTATGTTGTGTGGTTTTAGATAACATGATCTATAAAATGGAATGCATCCATAAATTAGATATGAGTATCACAGTATAACTATTTGATTTAGGCTATATTTTCTTTATCCTTGTGCAGTGTAGAGTTATAAGAATGAAAGTGTGTAAATCAGTGGGTGAACAACTAACAACAGCATGAGCACTTTAAATATTAGATTGTTGTTTTGTAAAATCTTCTGTTATGGGTCAGTTTATTTACGGAGAATGTGGCTGAATGTGACATTTTACTGGTTTCTGTAAAACATTGTTTGACCTGGTACAGATACAAACAGTTCTGCATGCTTCCTGCACGGTAGGGACAAAGTCACGCCATCAATTTAAAAAGAAAAACATACAAAATATGAAAAACAAGATCATTTTGATTAGGGGAAAACTATCTATTTGGGTAGGTCACAGAAAGGGTTTCTTTAATGCATATTAACAACATAAGAAATGTGTGTGGTGTCTGGCCGTGTGCTGAAGGGCTGCGAGGAGAATGTGCTCTCTGTTTATGTGCCATGAGATTATGCATTAGCCCTATATGTAAATGTGACTGTGGATTAAATGGAATAAATGCACACTGTGCATAAAATGCAGTTTTAGTTCGTGCTGTGCTGTGCTGTGCTGTACTGTGTGTGTGTGTGTGTGTGTGTGTGTGTGTGTGTGTGTGTGTGTGTGTGTGTGTGTGTGTGGGTGTGTATAGGTGTGTATGAGACTCTATGCTGTAATGTCAGTAATGTTATATAACTGCTGGGATGTCAGTGAGCTGAGCTCCTTGGCCTGCTTTCATGTCGAGCTCTGTTGTTTTAATCCACAAGGTCGACACAGCGACGTGACCTGGCTCATAACCTGACCTTCAGCAGACAGCCACAGGGAACACACACACACACACACACACAGAGAGAGAGCGAGAGAGCGAGCGAGTGAGAGAGAGAGAGAGAGCGAGAGAGAGAGAGAGAGACTCCGTTTCGGCTTGATTCTGTCATCTTGGTTGTGTGTATGTTTTCTAAATGGAGAATGTGTCCTCTGGCATGCTTATTAATGATTTACTGAAATGAGAGCGATACCTGTCATTAATCTCAGTGTCTGTCTCTCTCTCTCTCTCTCTCTCTCTCTCTCTCTCTCTCTCTCTCTCTCCGTAGGACTCGTAACCTCTCCGGTGGGTCTCCCAAACCTCGACACGCTAAGAAGATCCACTTCATCAAAAACATGAAACAGTATGACACGAGAGGAAGCAGGTGGGACACACACACACACACACACACACACACACACACACACACACACACACACACACACACACACACATTATTCTGTAGCTGCTGTTGTCTGTAACATCACAGATTTACAGACAAAAAAACCAGTTAAACCAGTAATATAAACTTCTTTCAAAATCCAGTTCTGTGACCGCCCGGTGACGTAGTGGTGTGTTTTATCACTTTTATATGTTTATGTATCTCGTGTTTAAGTGTGATCTGTGTCATCTGACTGCAAGACACATTCACCCTGAGGGGCAATAGAGTTAAAGTAAGTAGCAGCATCACATTGTTCCACTGCTCCAGCCAAATCTTTGCCCAGGTGTAGACAGTGTTGAGCAGCATGTTGATCCTTGCTGTTCACAGTGTGTAGAGTTACAGAACAACACAGCAAGTACAGCAAGGTCACAGCAGTGGACCTTTTTCTATTAACTATCTATGCAGAAAAACAAAAAAGATGCAGCTTTTCCAAACAATAGCAGCTACTGTTTTTGCATTTCAGACCTGTGTTTCATTCCTGTAGCTCCTGCTCAGGGTCTCCCAAGGAAAATTGGAGGGTAGGGTGAAAATCCAGAGAGCTAGAATCATTTCTCTGAGCCATAAGGTCCTCTCCTAACAGTACTGAGAGCTACATTTTCAGCAATAAGTCAATCCTTCAATCATTTTAGTGCTACAGTGGGCTCACAGTAACCTTATTCTGAACACATCTAACTAAAAAAATACCACAACTGTTTCCCATCCTGAAATAGTACATCCTCTATTTATAGTCATTTAAATGAATGCTTGTTTGTGGGATTTTGTTAAAGGTCAAAGGGGTCATATCTCAGATTTTTCCATTATGGCTCAGTCTCATTAACAAGTAACCTTTACAAACTCAGCTGACATGCAGATGTGTGAAGCCTTTACAGCAGGAGGGGAACTGAGCTGTTGGTTAGCCTTGTGTAGCCCCAACAGTGTCAATCTCTTCAGTTCTTCCTCCATTGTATTCTATTCTTGTCCTTCCTTGCAGGGTGTATAAACCAGACCTCTGGGTCAAAGGAACACAGGGCAACTCATCAGATAACAATAGCCTGAGAGCTGATTGTTTTAGAATAGATCCAGCTAAGAGCAGCAGAGCTGTTGTTTGTAGTCACCATGTCATCACAGAGCGGAGAGGGAAGTGAGAGCTCTCCTGCCTCAGAACTGCTCCTCCTGAACCTCTAGGTCCTAACCCTCCTTTGGCTCATGGGAGACTTTAAATGGTTTGCCAAGAGGTCAACAATAAAGTATAAATATGTATGTCAGTAAAAGTGCTTCAAGCAGTGCTGCAGTTTTTCACTGTTATAGAAAAAGTAGTACAGCAGTAAAATCATTGAAATATTAATGTATGTAATGTATAATTACATGATTGTCGTCTGTATATCCATAAATATAGCTAATCTATTCACGTGGCAGATTCACCTAAATGTAAAAAACTTAAGAGAAAATAAAACAGAAAACTAGCTTCTTTTGGAGTTACAGTAACCTTACATATTTGACAAACCTAAGGCTCAAATTGTCCCGTAACCATGGTTCTTGACATTCTTCTCCATTCAAATAAAGATATTTGTCGTGTATTGAAAGAAACTGTGGACATACAGGCAAAAGCTTCTCAAAATATCGTCTATTGTCTATTAAAAACAGTCTCAGAACACATAAAGTACCACGTCTGTGCTAGTTGAGGTTTCTGTCTGTGTACGCTAACTTATCCTGAGAACAATAATTCCAAATGCAGACATGTTGTGAATACACCATACGCCTGCAAATAAAGGGAGTGAGAACAGAACAAAAACAGCCTACGGTTAAAAAAACACTGCTCTAGAGCATACATCCTGTGTGACACTGAACTCTCCCCTGATAAATAAAAGTTAATAACATAAAGTCAGTGGACACAGTTACTCTATTAGGCTGAATTATCTCACCCTGTAGTGCTTTCTGCATCAATGTAACATCTATTTTAAAAAGAAGACAGAAATTTCCACAAATGTCTCAAATGGATGTTGACTTTTTCTCCCTTGGTTTTTTCGGACATTGCTCAGCACTTACAACCCCCGGGTCAGGGGTCCGGTTCCCAGTGGGAATAGCCTGGTGTTTTTCTTTAAGGTGATCATGGAATACTGTGCCCCCAGTGTTATGAAATGTGTGGTAATAACTGGATGTGTGGAGTCGCCAGCAGTCACGTTTCCAGCAGGACTGTTGTGATGCTTCTGCTGTTTCCACAACTCCCTGGTGACTTCCTGTGCTTCACTTTCCCATGCATCATAGGAAGCAAGCTGTGTGTGTGTGTGTGTGTGTGTGTGTGTGTGTGTGTGTGTGTGTGTGTGTGTGTGTGTGTGTGTGTGTGTGTGTGTGTGTGTGTGTGTGTGTGTGTGTGTGTGTGTGTGTGTGTGTGTGTGTGTGTGTGTGTGTGTGTGTGTGTGCGTGCGTGCGTGCTTTTTAACAGCATTAAAACAGAACCCATAATCTGTCTCATCGGATGGAGAGAGGAGGAGGAGGAGGAGCCGCAGGGACAGAAGAGGACAGTCAGTTTTTAGAGAGATATGTCCAAGTTAAAGTTGTAATGATTTATTCATATTGAAATCTATACTCACATTTTGCTCTTGTGAGAACTAAACTTTAAACCGCAGCGTCTCCTTTGAATAATAAATCGCTTTTTTTACCTTTTTCTACCTCCAGGAATGATGAATTACAGCCTCAAGATGAGATCGCTATAGTCTCTCTGTTTAAGTATACTAAGTAAAGTGAATCCTCTACCCAGGTGGATCCTCATTAAAACTGTCAATGTTTGACCAGGATCACGCCATGCCTGTAAAAATAACCACAGTGGATTTGGATGAACTTCTCTCCGGGGCCCTCTTCGTGATTATCCCAGTGGGAAACTGCAGTATATAAGGCTGCACTTCATAAAAGCACCAGCTGCATGTTTGAATCTTTACACGGATCAGATTCTTTCCTTTAGTCTTATGTCAGGGAGTAGTGAGAACTGAGATAAAACCCAGTCCCTCCACAGTATAAATCAAATAGATAAGACACATAAAGCAATTAAGTTGCTGCTGAGTACTAGAAAAAGAGTTGACTTTGCAATGTTCAGTAACAGTGTTGCTACAAAGCGATGCATAAAGGACCAACTAGACTCTTTTTTTCCTTCAAACCTGGAGTCAGATGAGAAGATCAATAGCCACCCCTTATGTGTGACAGTTCACAGCCATCTGTGAAATGCATTCTGGTTTTTAGTTTAAGCAGTCTGACAAATGACCTTGTAATTGATGAATAATATGAAGACTGATTTAAAAACAAGTTTGCTGCAACATGACACGAATATCAATGCCCAAAATGAATTTCTATGAAAGCCCAGTATTCAAGTTAAATGATGGTTCAACCCGTCACTGGACCTTGCAGTGGGTATCAGGCTGTTCCATCATAAATCTACTGGCCCCATGACAGGCGACACTGTTCTCTAGCCCTGACCTAACGTACCTTGAAGCTGTTAATCCTATTGTCACCCAACCAAAGAGCAGATACTCTGACCCGGCTGTATATCTTCATAGTAGAGGCTTTGGCTAAACTGCCTTGGCTGGCCCCGCTGGCTTGTTAAGCAATAACATCCTCATGCCCGCTCAGTAGTCCTACTGTCACCCCTACTTATCCAATAGTCTTACTAATAGTTACTAGTTATGTCCTGTTCTGAGGTAGTGTGCCGTTAAGGTCCAGTGTGTAACATTTAGCAGGCTCTATTGGCAGAAATGGAATATAATATTCATAACTATGTTTCCATAAGTATAATCACCAGAAAATAGGAATTGTTATGTTTCCATGAACTTAGAATGAGCCTTTAATTTCTACAGAAGCTGTGGGTCGCCTTCCGTAGAGTCCCACATGTTGAACCGCCATTTCTATAGTAGCCCAGAAGGGACAAACCCAAACACTGGCGCTAGATAGTTTCTCCCTCGCGCTTGGGAGGGGAGACTGAAGCGAGGGAGTTGTGATCTGCAACTACACCACTACATGCCACTAAATCTTTAAAGCATCACTGAATCTCATCCCAACCCGAGCAAAGAGCAGATTTATCAGTGTATAAAGCCCTCTGGTATGAGGAGCTTTTCTTGGACCTTATGTTGACCTGTCTAACCAAAGAAAGCAACACAGAGTCAAAATGAATGTGTTAGTGAGTGTGAGAGTGCAGGGTCATTCGGTGGGCATCCTCTCAATAACTGCTGTTTCACTGAGTTTGGCCCACGACAATCTCAGCATTGTATTGCAGTGTAGGAGAACCGCCACCCTCTGTACCTGCATCCACATACTCAACACAACCCTCTTCAGCAGGTTTTAAGATGAGGGTTTGCTCCTTTAAAGCTCGTATTTTATTTGTTTAATCCAGGTTATGTAACTACGTTGGTAGATTTACTGCTCCCTCTGCCAGTATTCTGATTAACTACAGAGCTGGTTGGGGTCTTAGTTTGATTTAGCTAAATTTGAAATTGGGAGCATTTGCTTCTGTTGCTGTTCCGTCTGACAGTCTCGGGATTGATTGGATGCTATCCTCTGTTCGCCTTGGAGCTCGAGCAGTGTGTGGCCTGTTTTGAATGTTTTATTGCTGTCAGAGAATGACAAGGTCAGTGATATGAGGTCTCCACTAGGATCTGCGTATAGTGTGTGTGTATTTATATATATATATAAAGGAACTGATCCCTCACAAACATGATAAACTCTGACATAAGTGTGTTTATGTTTTCACACAGTGTGAATCATCTTCCAGTCTCTTTGGTTCCTGAGCCAAACATAATGACTGTAAACATTTTCCTCTGAGACAAAAAGCAGCCTCTACTCCACAGGGGTTTATACTTCAGAGGATCCGCAGTGACAAACACACACACACTTTGTTCCATTGAAACCATGTCATAGTTAAGCGTGGTAAAGGTGCAGGTGGAACACTGAGGTCAGTTAGGAAGGAGTCAAGTGTGTGTGTGTGTTTTCAGGTGTTACCAAACACAGGTCCCTGATGTGATCCCTCCGCGGCTCCTCGGCAGGAGCAATTGTCTTCTTTTAGCTGTATAATTTGACCTGACTGTTGTGGTCCATTGGTTCCCAACTTCGGGGTTGGGACCCCCACTAGGGGTCGATAAAGCTTCATTGGGGGGTCGCTAGGCCTTCTACATATTAAGGGGTTTAAGAAATGTAGAATAATGGCCAGTCAAGTTAAAAAATACATAACACAGACAGAGAATTGTATAAAAAGTTCCCTAAATAGGAAATTATCTACTCGTTTTACACAAATGTCTTCCAGTTCTTGTGTTCATTATTTGGGTTGTACAGTTTTGAATAAAATATGGAATATCCATAAAGTATGTCACGTCTGATTAATAAATGATAGAAAAGGAGTCGCCCCATGTTAGAACTCTTAGTTAGTTTTATTTCCACTGACTGAAAACATGCTCATGTAATAGCACTGTGAGGTACAACCAGATGTCTCACATATTCTCTGTAAGTTAATTGAGTGTGAACCTGAGAAAAAACAAAGGATTTTTACTATAAACCTGCTTTAAGCAATACTGGAAAAACAAAAAAACCAAGCTGCCTGTTAGTCATCAAACACACACGTTGGAGATGTTTACAGCTGGAGTCTGGTACGGTCGAGATCGGAACACGGAGTGAAAAAGAAAAAAACAGAACAAACCACAGTGACCAAAATGAAATCAATTTAGTTCAGTTGTGATATTTATTGTCCCACAAGAGGAAGGCAATAAACGTGTGAAAGTTATACACGCAAGGAAAAGTACAATAAAGTGTCAATACGATAAATAACAGCAACAAATTAGAACAAGGATGAGATAAAATACGGCAAACAGTTGTCGTTGTTTATGGTATATGTGAATTAAGGATGTTTGCTGCAGATGTTTAACTCAGCAGTCTGTCTGACCAGAAGAGAGGGTATCAAACTTCTTTAAGAGAGCATGCTTTGGAGTCGGTCAGGATCACATTAAAATCAATATCATTATTGACAAGAAGATTACTTGTTAACATTTACCTTGGTAACGATTAATAAACAGTATCTTATTTAACAGTAATCTCTATTTAACATATACATAAAGCTATAATATGTAACATTCCCTGATAAAAGAACGCTGTTTCACATCCATCATTTTATTACAGTGACTGCGTTTCCTTGCTTGCCTGTAGTTGCTCTAACTTCCAGATAAACACGGCATACGTCAGAGTGAGGAAGAAAGTCGGTAAACATGACTAAAACTTTCATTTCCTTCTTCTTCTTCTTTTGTTTTGATGTGTGCGACCACGTATCCGGGGAAGATAACACGCTTGACATTAAGGAGCACTTTAAAGTATTTGCATAAATAATAGAATCAGCAATATTTTGCATCTGTTCCGACTATCATAAAATAGATTTGAAGACATTTATGGCTTCTGTCCTTTATTAACCCAGACAAAGACAGACTGCTGAAACAACACACACAACATGCTTCAGCCTCCACACTGAAGACTCCTTTGCTCCTCCAAAGTGAGGTTGTAGCTAACTCCATGTTTAACCCCGTCACTGCTGGTGAACTGAAGTTGTAACATTTATTTCCTGATAAACTCTGGCTCATACTGAACAACCGCTGATTCATTCACCTGACTCACCTGAGCTCAGACGCTTCATCTTTCTCACCCCTCGCCACACACACACACACACACACACACACACACACACACACACAGCACAAAAAGCTGCAGTCCTCTTCTATTTGATGACAGTATTTACAGTTAGCTTTGTTTTGTCCCGTATTGTGCTGACAAAGTGTGGCAACTTGGCCGACATGACATCTATTTTTGTGTACCAGCTCTTTCTCATCTGCACCCGCTGCATTTCTCCAACACTTGGTACTGAACTGTCTGTCTGAATTAGACTGGAGACAACTGCTGGTGGAACAATCCGACTCGACCAATCAAATGGACTGTAGAGTAGGATTGAGGGTTGAGCTAGTGCTCAGCAGAAACAAGTATCTGGTACCGATAGGGTACTTTTTTACAAGTACGGGTAAAATACGTACTGGTAAATACAGCGACTTTTATTCTCTGAAGCTCAAGTTCTGAGGATGTCCTTTCCAGTTTTCTAATAAATATAACAACATCTGATCAACCCATATCAGTTTTTAGGCTTAAATGGTTACTCCTGCCCACATCCAGTTTAAGCCCTGCCCATTCTGAGAACACATACTAATACAGATAATTTAGTTGGTTGAACAGATACAGATAATGCTGTACACATTGATCCCTGCTGTATAGTCAGGTTTTTTGTTGTGTATTTGAAGGGTAAGAGGCAGTCTGTATACAGGAATGAATGAATCAAAGGAATCAGACTAAAATGAGATGGTTGTGGTTACTTTCTGATTAACTGTCCAGCCCTTATTTGGAGTTGGTTTTCTGTGTGTCTGGTCGGCTAAAGCAGTCTGATAATGATCGCTTCTGCTCACCAGAGATTTGACTTCCCGCCTTGACAGCGTTGCCAAGTTGACCCCTGATGTTACAGATGTTACAGCAACGTAACCACTAATGTGTGCGTTTGTTTGTGTTTCAGGATCGTGCTGATCTGCGCTAAGAGATCTCTGTGTGCTGCCTTCTCTGTTCTGCCCTACGGAGAAAGCTTCTACCTCAGGTAATCCACACACAGCTGCACACACACACGCGCGCACACACACGCGCACACACACGCACACACCTCTAGCATCCGTGTCAGGCAGGATGAAAGAGTTTAGAAGGAAGAGCTTAGGAGGAAGAGGTAGAGCTGGCCACAGAAAGAAAGAAGGTGGAGGAGAGGAGAGATTTTCTCACTGGGAGACAAAGAAAAAGGATAAAGGACGGATTGCTGAGAGAGGGCAACGGGTGGAGGAGGAGGAGGAGGAGGAGGAGGAGGACCTGAGGACGTCCTGATAAACAACTCTTCCACAAACAAGGAAGAGGGGATATTTGGGATGATTTTCCCATGTGCTTCAGAGCCCCCTGACTTGACCTGAGGGCTTTTTGTCTGGTGACTGACACACACAGACACACACAGACACACACAGACACACACACACACACACACACACACACACACACACACACACACACACACACACAAACCGATACACACTTAGGTCTTTACAGACACATTTACAGATAAACATTCAGCAGAATGTACACTTATCATGTTCTCCTGTTCACACACACACACACACACACACACACACACACACACACACACACACACACACAGATAAAAGTACAGAGTAACAGTAATGTGAATTTATCCTAATCCCTTTCTCTCCATCACATTCTCTCACTCACACACACACACACACACACACACACACACACACACACACACACACACAGTTGCAGACGGTAATCTACAGCAGCCCTTGTTTATCATGGCGCCACGCTCAAACTACACATACACACACATTGTAGAAAGTATCAGTACACAAAGAAAAACAAATCTGTTATGTACACACAGATTATTATTTTGCACACACATCTTTCTCTGTTGTGTGCGCACACACACACACACACACACACACACCCCACCACACACACACACACACACACACTTACATACACAATAAGTATGAATATACACACAAGAAACATTTGTCTTCCTGGTATTTTTCTCCCACTGAGGAAGTGAGCTCACACTTCCCTTTTTATCTTGTAGCTGATGCTCCAGTCTGAAAGTGCGAAAGTTCAGCGTGAACATGTGGCTCTGGTGGGAAGTGAGCTCTGACCTGCACTCACAGGATTTTTTCTGAACCACATGTCACCTCATAATGCTACAGGCAGCAGGATGTAGGGAGGGAATACTACATTGTCTCTTCTTCAAACTACACTAGGAATCTAAAGCGCCACCAGCAGCCCCTAGAGGCTGCAAAATCCATTACAGCACACAATTACAAAAATGCACCAGCATTAAAAATGTAAAGTTTGCCTTGGAGGTGCTGGAGGAAAGGTCGTGGAGTTGTTGTGCAAGCATATAATCAGTATATTTAATTGCAGCCTTTCTGCTTTTTCTCGTGTACAAGTGTTAAGATTTTGGTATGATGACGCTAGAGGACAATCAGGAGGTCACTAAAATCATTAGGATTCATCTACAAATTTTAATTTAAGCTCAGTCCTCAGTAAATTCTGATGAATTCCTCTGTTTACAATGGTATTAAGATTTCAGCTTTGTAAAATTATGATCATGTCGATGATTTAGTCAATGTTCAACAATTACTTTTCTGAAACTCCACAATTCCCCTTTGTCAAGATCAGTCTTTCATGATTAGGGATGGGAACCGAGAACCACTTCCAGTTGAGAACCTGTTACAGATTGTCGACCCGATTTTCCCAGTATTTCTGACAGTTGTGCATGAAAAGTGAGGCAAATCATGCAGCCTAATCTGGAGGGGAAGAAATGGTCCACAGTCTGGCTTCATTTCACAATGAAAGATGACAGCAGTGCTAGGCTTACTTTTCCACACAGAAAATTGTTTAGGTATCCGTGAGGGAATTGATAAAGAATCTGATCGATAATGGCATTTGTATCACTAAAATCTTTAGTTCCCACTCCAACTGCTGCAGTCTGATCCGTCATCTGAATCTTTTATCTGAGATATCCTTAATTTAAATTCCTCTCTCTCTCTCTCTCTCTCTCTCTCTCTCTCTCTCTCTCTCTCTCTCTCTCTCTCTCTCTCTCTCTCCCACCCAGTGACCCCACATTAAACCACCCCAGGAGGAGGCACTCATCCGGTAACATCTCCACCACCCTGGAGATGCTGCCGGGGCTGGAGGGCTTTCAGCTGGACACCTACGGCAGGGTAGATCAACACACAACCACTAACACACACACACACACACACACACACACACACACACACACACACACACACACAGAGGTCTTGGAGGGTTCTATGTGGTCAGATCCTATAAATTCATCTCTCTCTCTCTCTCTATGTCTCAGTCTGTGTCGTACGCCCAGTTCCTGTACCCCACTAACGCCCTGGTGAGGCAGAAGCCGTCGTCCACCAGCGACCTGACGCTGCAGATTCCCGTGTCCAGGAGCACACACAGCATGCAGGGCAGGAGCTGCCCGCCCAGCAGACTGAACAGCACTGTGGGACTGGACCTGGGTAACACATACCGCCATGTGGTCTTGTGATGTCAGGATTTCACCACGCAACTACTGAGCCAAATTTAGGGTTGATAGCTTGATGTCCCCGCATTTAGACCGATTTAGACTAATCAAGAGAACATTCATACAGGAAGTAGAGGCAGAGGGGTGTGATTGAAGCTGCAGAGAGAAAGAATGAAAATACAAAAGTATGTAGGGGTAGAAGAGACGACAAACACAGGGTGGAGGGATGGGATGAGAGAGAGAGAGTTGTTGCAGCTGTGCTGGAGTGTTGTTCTCTTTATATTTTAAACATGTGTGTATACATATGTACACACTGTGTGTCTCATGCTTCTCCTATCATAAACACACACACCCACAGAGCCCTGTATTAGCCTCTAAACCTCTCTCTCTATTGCAGAACCTTTCATTAACACAACCCAGCTGTGTGTGTGTGTGTGTGTGTGTGTGTGTGTGTGTGTGTGTGTGTGTGTGTGTGTGTGTGTGTGTGTGTGTGTGTGTGTGTGTGTGTGTGTGTGTGTTAGTGTGTGTGTGTGTGTGTGTTAGTGTGCACACTGATAGCAGGTTTATATTTTTAGTCCTCTTGTGACGTCTTCAGTCTCAGACTCAGCTCTCGAAGCTGCCGCATCTATACGTCATCCGTTAGGTGGCTAACTGGTCACAGAAACATCAGCGATCATTTGGTTTTGTTCAGTTAGAAAACTGTGACGTCCTCTTCAGGAATTCTGAGATGCAGCCAGCTGTTGGTCAGTAAACAGCTGCAGTGTGTGTAACCGCCCATCAAACTACAATGTCCAGTTTTATTTCATTTCTACGTGTGTTAAATACACTAATGCAACATAAAATCAAAAAAAGAGACAGATGGAGTTGGTTGAAGTGGAGCACAGCTAGCAGTTTGCTTACCGCCTTTGTGTCTTTGTGTCTTTGTGTCTTTATGTTAGTCTAAACACACCACTGAGATAACCATCTGTCTTCATATCTGGCTCTCAGGACGTCTCACAGGGTGTTTCTGCGTTAGAGATCCTTCTGAATGATATCTGCCATAAGGGACAATGATTATAATATATATTTATACAAATCAAATCAATCCATGTATTCAATTAAACCAGCTAACTGATTAATTGTTGACATTTTATAGAAGAGTACTCCGTTGATTTAGTGTTGCACTTTTATAACATTGTCAGACTCTTGATGGGCAGTTCAGAAAATAAACAAATCGAGATATTGTTTTTTTTATCCACACCCACTCACTTAAGGGTTTACTCTAAATTCCTTCTACTTCACTCTGTGTTGTCCAGGTGTGGAAGATGTGACAGACTACGACCCTAACCTCCTCAATGACCCCCAGTGGCCTTGTGGGAAACACAAACGAGTGCTGATCTTCGCCTCCTACATGGTAAGAAGACACTGAAGGTGTTCTTTATTATTTTAAGTGTGTGCTCCATGGAAAAAATATTCTACAGTTTGATTTTAAAGGTCCAGTGTGTAACATTTAGGAGGCTCTACTGGCAGAAATGGAATATAATGCATAACTATTTTACTAAGTTTGGTGTTTAGAAGGGGAGAGTCTGCAATTACACCTGCCACTAAATCTTCCACTCTGGACCTTTAAGTGACCTCAAATGCATGGAAAATGACTATAATTCTGGATCAGCAGTAAATATCCAGCAGCCGTGTGTCTCCAGCTCTGCTGGCTGTTTGACGTCTTTAATGACACACTTCTTCTCCTGTGTCAGAGGACAGGTGGTTTCAGTGCTCTCAAAGCACTTTACTGCTATACTGTAGTAGTGAGCCAGGGTACAGATGTTCACACATCCATTGCTGTTTGTGAACAAACCATTCAAAGTTGGCCCCAGGGTCAATTAGTGAGCGAGAGGAACGGACCTGCAGCTCTTTCTACATCCAGACCTCTCTCCACAGAACACTGTGTCAGTGCTGGAGAGGAGACACTGATGTAACCTACTCGCTACATTTTCTCTGAGTCCCGACCTCACACCTGCACGCTGCCCAAATAATAAAAAAACTCTGGCTGAGAGCAACACACACACTTCTAGTGCGTCATTAGTGATGATTGAGAGGGATTATTCTGAAGTCTATACAAAAATCCTTCTCTTGAGATCTTGCCAAGTCTATGACATAGGTAGTTTCTGTTCTAGACGGTTTATAAGCAACAATTTTATAACACAAGTAAGAAACTATATGGGATTTGATCTATTTAATATGATTAACATCTGATCAGATCAGTGTGTCACATACCTAACTTCAGATAACGATGGTGTTTGGTAGTTTTGTTTCTGTCTCATTTCTGGATCTGGTTCCTTTTTGCAGGGATGGAAATAATCTTTATAAACTTTGTTGTGTCCAGAAGTTCTCACTACACCTGTGTGACATTAAGGGCAATTTTAATTTCCCACATTGTAAGAAACTGGAATAAAGGAGCAGAAAGAAAAACGTAAGGAGAGGAAATAAAGAAGAGATGACAGAAGTGGAGAGGAGAGAGAAGGATAAGGGATTATAGAGCTGCTCTGAGAACAGCATAATCACTACTCAGAGAGGAAAAACACACACACACACACACACACACACACACAGCTCTTTTACATCAACATAATTATCCTATAGGCAGCAGCTTAGTTTTATCCCTCCACGGAGGTGATTTAAAAACTATGGAGACACACACGCACACACACGCACACACTTTATCAGTACTGTTTAATCCATCAAACGAGATTATTGCTGAGGTGGGCTGCTTTGTCACTGATCTTACTGTGTGTGTGTGTGTGTGTGTGTGTGTGTGTGTGTGTGTGTGTGTGTGTGTGTGTGTGTGTGTGTGTGTGTGTGTGTGTGTGTGTGTGTGTGTGTGTGTGTGTGTGTGTGTTAGCATTACACAGTGTGATCTCACCACCCACAATGGTGTCAACTCTCTGATCTAAACTACAAACAGACTCAGACTTCACACACACACACACACACACACACACACACTATAAACGGACATTAAATAGGCTTTCAAACTGCATGTACATGATTCTAGAAAAGTTTTAAAATCATCATTCAGAGAAACTCTGGTCGTATCTTACACATCAGGAGAACATTAGAATGTTTCCTCTCTGCTCTCACAGTACTATATGGACTGGAGCAATAAGGAACAGAGACACGGTTTAAATGTCACCGTCTGAACTAGGGCTGCACGTTCATGGCCACAATTCTAATCACCATTATTCTGATCAATATTGACATTGTGATTATTTCACAATGACAGAGCACTGCTGTATCCAGGCTGCAGCTGCAGGGTGTGCATGCAGCGACATGACAGCTCACCAAAAGTGTAACCATAACATCTTCATCACCCCTGCTGGCAGGCTGTTAGTTTAAGAAGCACTTGACATGCAGCAGAGTTTTCTATGAGCCGAGCACACATTTTAAATGTCAATATCATAGACGTTCATTTAGTTGTGGGAGCCAAAATCATGATCGTAATTAATATTCCATTAATTGTGCAGCCCTAGACTGAACCCACACACCAGCTTGTTGTCTTTCTGAGTTTGTTAACAGTCTTTATTTGTTGTCAGTTAGTGACCCAACTGTCTGCACCTACTGGATATGTTCATATATTCTGTGAGAATCGACAGTCAGAGAAATGTACCATCTATCTCATTAAACTCTGGGTGTATAAGGTCATTGTGAGCAATTTAGCAAATCAATTAAAATTCAATATTGGATCTCTATACATAATTTGTGCATCAGCGTGATGAAGTGTCTTTGTTTGTGTGTATTCAATTCACACTGGATCAGACAAAAAAATCCTCTCTGGTTATTTTATACATTAACACTTTTTAAATAGATTTTTCATAATTGAAGCCATTGAAGCCACCATTGATCAATCAATGGATCAATGTCCAAGCAGACAGTGTGTGCTCAGAGTAAAGCCGTAGATGGTAGAGTAGAGAAATGTATCCTCAGTGTTTACTTACTCATGGGGTTCATTTACATTCTGTCACCATTGTTTGACTTTTAAATGTCTCTGCTTACACTTTGCATAAACAGAGAAAAGAAGAGATTGTTGTGCTTCTCTTCCTCCACTCCCTTTTCTTTTGTTCTGTTTCCTCCATTTTTCTTTCTTTTTAATTACATCTTCTCCTCTCGCCCTTCTTCCTCTAGACGACGGTAATAGAATACGTCAAACCGTCCGATCTGAAGAAAGACATGAACGAGACGTTCAAGGAGAAGTTTCCTCACATTAAACTCACTCTCAGCAAGATACGCAGGTAAAGTATTCGAACTGAATCAACTAAAATGCTACTATGTTATTATGGCAGTAAGATAAACTTACTTTCTTTTTATATACACTTTGCTAAAATGTAAACTACAGTTAAGAATTGCATCATAATAAAACTGTCTTTGTCTGTCTGGCAGTCTGAAGAGAGAGATGAGAATAGTCGGGGAGGATTGCGGCATGCAGCCCGTCACCATCGCGATGGCGTTCGTCTACTTTGAGAAGTTGGTGCTGCAGGGTCGACTCAATAAACAGAACAGGTACTGTAACACCTGAACGACTCTCTGTGCTTTGAATGCTCATTCACACTGCGTATGGACAATATTTGACAGATTAGGTGATGATGGAGAACTGATAATTGCAGTAATTCCTACTATAACTAGTCTCAGGAGTGCAGTCTGGATTTATAACAGTTAATGCAGATTTTGGGAAACAACAACAACATGTAGGAAAACAAAATGCTGCTGTGTCCACAGTGTGTGGTGTAGGAGTGGCTCCCCCTTGTGTTTGTTTTTAGTTATTGTCATTAATGCAGCTGATCCATTTCTGTCACACACTCCATAGACAGGTGAGAGCTCCTTTGTGTCCCATAAACCCCACAAAGCAACATAATGGCGTCAATGTCATTGTAAATGTTTGGGAAAATGACGATTTGAAGAATGGAAACCTGTTATCTCTCCATCTCTCTTAAAAATGGGCATTGATAGGTGTAAATGATTTTTTTTTTTTTTTTTGGTATGGGGTTCCTACAAATACTGAAGATTTCCTTCATATTAAGAGAGCCACTGATTGGGGGGGAGAGAGAAAAAGGCCCCACCCCCCCCCCCCCCCTCCTGGGGTCTTATTTAATTTAATTTAATTTTTTTTTAAACAATTCATAAAGATTTCACTTTTCAAATAGAGCAGAGAGACACTCAGAGCGCAGAAGGCAGAAACAGGACAGATCCAGAGAGTGGGTGGGGTGAGAGTGAGTGAGTGAGTGAGTGAGTGAGAGAGAGAGAGAGAGAGAGAGAGAGAGAGAGAGAGAGAGAGAGAGAGAGAGTCTCCCATTTACTTCTATTAAAGCCCACACAACTAACGAGATCATTTATTCAGAGTTTGTAGTTCATCTTTGTTCAACTAAGCAGATGTGAGCAGTCGGTCAATTGAACGTCTTTAAAAATGTGTTATTGTTATCAGTTATTATTCTAGCTGTTTCATTACCATATTTACATACATACATTATCACCTCACCAGACCACAGACTGTAGCGTCGCTCTCATTGGAGGGTCCGTGTGTGGTCTAACTCTGCAGAACGACGTCCTGTCACTGACACTGTTGTTGTTTCACAGGAAGTTGGTGTCAGCTGCCTGCATCCTACTGGCTGCTAAGATCAGCAGTGACCTCAAGAAACAGGAGGTCAAACACCTCATCGATGTAAGTCTCTCTCTCTCTCACACACACACACACACACACACACACACACACACACACACACACACACACACACACACACACACACACACACGGTTACCTCTGTCTGTCCATCAGATCATGTTGCTCTTGCTCAGGTGTTTATGATGCTGATCTACCTGAGCAGGTGGAAAACAACCTGCAGGACACTTTCTGTCCTTTACAACTGTCCTCACACACAGTAGAGAAGGTCAAACCTCAGCAGTGTCATTAAGTCCCAACTGGTACAGCGTCATGGCTGCTGTTATTGGCCAATTTCAGGTTGTCACACATACTGTATGTCAGTATCAGCATATATGTCGGCTGATGAGTAACATTAAAACGTCAGCACAGATATGTTTGAGGTCATTTGGAAACAGTAGCTCCATTATATAGTCTGTCCACCAGAGAGCGCTGCATCTACAGTCTGTATCTTGGTTACATTTCTTTATACCCATATTTAAAGCATCAAAAAAATATTTGATTATTCAGAATTAAATATCAAGCAAAAAAAATATCAATGCTGTTCCCAGCTTCTCTGTTGTGAGAATTCTCTGCTTAATTCTGGTTTATGTCATTGTAAACCTAATATTTTTCTCCAACCTCTTTTAGGCTAAACGATGAATCACTTCATCTTAAAAAAATTAATTGGTATCCCAAAAGGGATCAGTTGTTTTCTGTAAAATAAACAAAGCGATAAATCCCATCTCAGATTACCAGATCTTAAACTGTCTACAAATAACATGTAAAGCATATTTTCAAACTAAATAATTTTCAGTTTCAAAAAACGGGGAAAAATAAAGCAAATCCTCCCATTCAACCTAAACATTAATAACTTCAACCAATAATCAAGACTTGTGAATCAGAAGTCTTGATTATTCTACAGTCAGCTCAGTAGTGATCCAGACATGACACCATTTGACAAAAAATAGGGAGAAAATTCAAATAGAATATAAGAAAGTCTGTCTCATCAAAGACAAGTGGACATTTGACATGTTGTCAGAAAGCATTGTGTCTGTGTCTCACTCTTTGGTTTCTGTTGTCTCTGTAGAAGCTGGAGGAGCGTTTCAGGATCAGCAGGAGGGAGCTGATATCGTTTGAGTTCACCATCCTGGTTGCCCTGGAGATGGCGCTCTACCTCCCTGAGAGCAAAGTCATGCCCCATTACAGGCGGCTGGTGCAGCAGCAGCAGTTATAGCAGCGTTCACACCCCCCTTCCTCCCTCCAGGGACTCCCAGCACCTTCCAGCTCCACACTGTGACGCCTGGCTCAGAGGCACTGAGGAATCATCCTCCTCTCGGACACCAAAGCCCGTCCGCACTGTGACGGTAGAACGACGGCAGCGCCTGGCTCGACGGCACAGCAATGCAAAGAGAGCAGCATCGCCTTCTCTTCCTCCCTTAGAGACCAAAGTGACGACACTGTGATCCATGGCTCAGCAGCACCACGGGGATCACTGGAGGTCAAATCCATCACAACCCCTCCAAATCACATCTTTTTAAAGGGAATTATGTTTGTTTTTTACACCTGATTACACCTGGTTTGTCACACCTTTAAAAAAGGTTTTCCTCGCCTTTACAGAGATTTCAGTCAGCCTTTATGAAGCCATTTTCAGCAGTTTCAAGTACTCCTCTCTAAATTCTCTGCAGTGGAGCAGGTGATGAACTTATTGCCCAACCCCCCCAGAGCGATAAAAATGTGTTCCAGTAATCGCTTTTTGGACTCGCGTAATGTGACATTTCACATTTGGTCGGCTGAATTTGGTTTTAGAATCACTCAACTATTTAATGGCATGGACTTAATACACGTACCAGACCTGACTCTGATTGTGCAAGTTGGTTTTGGTTTGTGTTTAAAAAAAAACTTGCAGTCACAGTCGAGTTCACAGAAATCAAGAAATTCAAGGACAGAAAAGAGACATTTACATCCAAACTAAATCAAAACAGAAGCGCTGTTTTCAAAAAGTAACACCGAATCAAAAGATTTTCTCTCCAGCTGTTTTAGCTCCTTTCGGTTTAACCTAAATTGAACAGTTTTTAACGTTCTAGTCAAAAACTGCTGTGGGCCAAATTCACTGAGTGAAGAAATTGACCAGAAAGTCTGAAATAGCACTTCTTATGTTGAGTTTTGTGCATCTGACAATCATTTTGCTGCATTTAAAAGCATCTTAAATCAAAAGTCTTCTCTGCAACATCCCCATATTTTTGTACAAAACTTAAATTGTGAAATTCAGTTTAAGGTGATAAATTCAGGCCGTGAGGGGGAATACTTCCAGCACTGTGGCGGCAGCAGTTTCCAGTACTTGTTTGGACTCGTCGTCGCTGTTTGTGTACTTTGATTTGTCGAGGGGGAAGGTTCACTGTGCTCTGTGACACACGTGGAGCTGCAGTCTGCTGCTGTCAGACCGACGGTTTAGATGTTTAAGTGCCTTACCGGAGGCCACCTGAAGTGTAGATGATCCTGTTCTGTCTGTCCTGAGCCACACATTCAAACCAGCAACTTTATCTTTACCTCTCCCCCGTATTTTGACCTCTTTCTCGCGCTCATGTTGTCGTCCCTCCTCCTTGCCAGTTTGGTGTGAATGACCGGCTGCACACTCTGGTGGTCACAGAGAAGAATTGCGTCCTTTGGGAACAACACTGTCACTGTCTCCGTCCCCTCCATCCGGTTCACACAAACACTGGGTCCCACTGTAGGAGTCCATGTCCGTTATGGTCTGTCCTAGCAAAGCCACCTCCAAACGCTTCTTCAGATGAAACCTGAATCTTGCAGCCGTCTTTTACCCTAATTTGGAGGAAACAACCGCTGTTTATTTTTTAGGTTTTAACGTCCCAGAGAAGCCGAAATAATTATACTTTATTTGTATTTAATATATCAGCGTTTGGCTGGTGTCTGGCATTAATTCACAGATGTTCCGTTAACACTAGAGCTGAAATTAAATTTATCGGCCTGTATCAATACTTGAAAATAATCATTTGTTTTTGTTTTTATTTAGGCAAAAATATCACACATCCACTGATTCCTTAATACTAATTTTTTTATGCTGACATAACAGCTATTTGAATATTGACTCTGAGATGAGAAATTGTAGTATTTTTCACCTTTTTTGGACATGTTGTGGAAAAAAAGGTTTAATCAATCGCCAAAATAAATGACAGTTTAATCAACGCAGAACATAATCTTTAGTTGCAGCTCTAGCTAACAGTCGTCACTTTATTTTACATCCGTTATTTTGTGCTGCGGGGCTGATAGTGCTCACATACGGTACAGTCATATATTTTTAAAGTAGGCCGGTGCCAACGCTAAGGCTTCTTAAGGCGGACTGCAAACACATTATTCATGGTTGTTGGAGGGAACTCACTGTAGCTACAGACGTCCTCATTCTGTCTGCACTGTGACGGAACATCAACTACCACAAACACCTCTCTGTTCATGAACTACCTTAGAAAAAGGACTTTTCACTCAAATATATTATTTATTCTGTTTTCACTGTATCATAAAGGGACAAATATTTAACCAAACAGAGGCCGACAGGATGTTTGTGCCTGGTAACCATTGGTTACAGGCGGCCATGTTGGAGGAAAGATGGCTGCACAAACGCTCCCTGTGGGGCCTCTGTTGTTTTTGCACTTTGCCTTTTTGCTTCACAATCCTGAATCTTTATTTTATCACTAAGTGTAAGGGTAATAATATTTTTCTACATTAAATGTGTCGTTGTATTATTGTATGTTGAAAACTGACAGTCACTGAAATTGTATTTATTGCTAACAATCCCCCTGATGAGGAATCATGTTTTAATCCAACAGCTGCGGTTGTGAACCTGCAGATGATGCAAAGCATCTTCACACCAGATCATTAAGCTGAAAACTATTTCAGATACAGTTTAAAGATAAAGCCTTTAAAATGTGATTCTTCATCTTGAGGTTTCCCGTCAATGTTCTTCCACTGATGTTATTTTCTGTCGTGTGTTAAAAGTGTGTGTGTGTGTTGTATTTTGGAGTCTGGGTTCAGCGGCACTCGAGAGTCGGAGCAGGAGAGCTGATGGGTTTCGCTTTAGAGAGAGTTGTGCTACACGAGACAAAACCGAGTCACGTCGGGTTCGCTTTGGGTTGCGTTCCATTAGTGTGACGAGCTAACCAATAGCCAATGAAAGAAGCTAATATTTGGCAGCACCAGTTGCATACGGTTGCTAATGTCCAATAATTCTGTTATTTTTAACAAATTCCACAAAAAGACCAAAACCAACAATGTGTTCAGACTTCACCAGCCCGCCTGTATTACTCAGACAATAGTAAAGAATATATTTCTTAGGAACTATTTTTAGAGGCGATTCTGGGAGTTTTTTGGACACCAGTGGAACTCTGTGACACAGAGGAATGAGCTCTCAGGCTTTGGAGTAAGTTTAAGTATAGTGTATACTTATTAGTAGGATCAATTTATTCATTCATTGCTGGTTTTAGCTTCTCAAATGTGAGAATTTGAATTTCTTGGGCTGTGGAAAAATTGAACGAAACCAGTACCGCCTGAAAGATGAGAAAAGACATCATTGATAGTAAAGGAGCTAGAAGTATTTAAAGAAGAGGGTTTGTCTCAGTGTTTCTCTCCTGCTCTGACAAAGGTAGTGACGAAGAATCCACACAGAGCAGAGTCGTTTATTTAAACTGGTGTCTTTGTGAAATCCACGCAAGTTTATTTTGGCAATAAACAGCGAAGCTTCTTTGGTTTAAGTTAAAATATGAAAGACGTTCTGAATAGAAGACTCTGCCTGAGAGCAGGAACGGCAAACAAGCTTCCAAATTTGTCTTCTCTACATTAGAGATTTTTGTGAAAAAGATCCTATGCAGCTTTTATTCCGTCAGCTGACCTTCCTCCTCCTCCTCCTCCTCCTCCTCAGTGTGTTTACCTGTAACGTGCCACAGCATTTATTTTCACCCTCATTTATTTAAACCTCACGTTGGATTTAGTTCATTGTTTTGTATCGAGTTATTATTTCATTCTTCTTTGAGCACTGTAAGGCTGAAAAGGGAAATATTTACCAAGTGTTTGTCTTCCATTAATAATTATTGTTTTTACATTTTAAGTTAAATTTCATTCTAAGTTTAATGAATTAGATTTTTGTATTGTGTGTTTGTCGGTTTTTTATGGACAACTCGGACGAGCGACGCAGCAGTTTGCAGCCAGTCGAGGCATTACAGGAAGTCGGTCTATGAGATCTTATTTATCTGTTTCTGGGTTCAGCTCTTGTTGCCACTTTTGTTCACTCCACATGTAGTGAAACAGAAAACATCAGATTAAAGTTTTATCAACCTGCTCGTACTGACGACACTGTCCGCAGAGACTGCGTTGGTCACGTTACAGGACAGTTCAACAAAAACAGAAATAAGTGGCTGAAAATATTTATAGAAATATTTTATAAAAAATAAAGACCGTATACTGTTTAAACTGCCAATGTTCAATTCATGTGAATTTATTTTCATTAAAAATATGAAAGTGACTGCTTCTGCTCTAACTCATTCTTTCATCAAAGTTATCTTCTTGGTTGGGGAATAAAGTGAAGGGAGGTTTGTAATACAGTTCAATATTTGTGTTATGAATATTAAATCAATCATTGTTGTCATGATGACCACAAACACAAACCAACTAATGTTTAAAAACTACAGACTGCAATAAGAGAATATATACATTTGTGCACAATAAAAGCCAGAGCCTATTAAGACGTTGTATATTCACAGTTAACAGTTACAAACTGTTTATGAACTAGTTGCCAGCAGTTTGGTTTTCCAACATTTTCAGGCACACATTAAAGGTCCACTGTGTCACATTGAGGAGGATCTATTGTCGGAAATGGAATGTAATATTCATAGGTATGTTTGTCGCTCTGTGATTGGAGAATGATATTAATTACATTCTGATTTATTTTATTATTATTTAATTTATGAAATTATTACTTGCTATCAGATTACAGAGGCTGTTCAGGACCCAGCTTAGCTTCCCATCACTCCGCTTTCAGTGAGTCACACTTTGATAGAAAATAGTCCACATTATACCTGAAACACTTTACAGTAACTTATAGTTTGTACCTTACAAATCATTTACCAAAATATGTACAATATTTAAGATGAGCCTAACTTAAAGTTGAATCAGTAAAAGTCGCTCTGAACGGAGTGCAGAGGAGGTGAATCATCATCGGCGAGGTTGCTGCACGAGCTCGTCTCTACCGGAAGCACAGAGTGGATGACATTATCTGCAGCCTGGAAGTAAAGAAACACAGAAAATGTTATCACTTACTGACTGTTTTAGTCTTAAAAAGCAACTTAAAGCTTTGATTTGATTTAGTCTCTACAGCAGAGCTTTTCAAACTGGGGTCCAGGGACAAACAGGTGTTGGTTGCAGGGGCCCCCAGCAAAATTAAGAAGAACATTTCAACTTTTATCTCATGTTTTGTGAAGAAACTGGCAGATTCTCTCTCTCTGTCTGTCTGTCTCTCTCTGCGTCTCTCTCTGTGTCTCTGTGTCTCTCTCTCTCTCTCTCTCTTTCTCTCTCTCTCTCTGTTCACACTTTAACATTCAGTCCGAGGACTTCCTCCTCAAACCCACAGAAGCTTGTAGCTTGAGATATGATCACAAACTGACCTGGTTCCTGTTTCTTAAACAGACAGGACGTTACTTAGAAACATGGACGGACTTAAACTTTGCTTAAAACCACATTTCTGAGAACATGCCCACAGAATTTATTCTGCCACAGCAAAAACATTTCCTCTGCTGTATGATGAAAGTCAAAACATACTGTTTTCTGAACGCACACTGCACTTTCCTTGTCAACGTGTGTGGATACATTTCTGTTAGAAGACTTGAACCAGGGTCTTCTCTACTGAATAAACTTTCCTTTTCCAATGTACGGTGGAATTGCACATATTGTGTTAATAGGCTAAATGTGGGGGAAGGTTTATTTCATGTGTGAAAGCTGGTTTGACAGGTAAACTGTGTTGGGTTTTTTGAAAATCAGTTTTACACATTCAGTTGTGTTTGTTCTGTTTCCTGCAGTCTCACCTTTGGGTTCACTGGCCCTCTTCCTGCAGAATATCAGCACAGACGCTGATAATACGAAGATCATGACGACCACAGTCAGACGCACATACAGCTGCACACCTGTGGTTGTAGAACAGGTTTGATTTACACTTTCTGGTTCATTATGAAATATCTGGGAGTCTGCATACCTGGACTCTCAGGTACATGTGGGAGTCCATTCACGCAGTGATGTAAACCAATATTATCAACTATAATATTTAGATGATTAAATCAATACTTCATAACATAAAGATCTATCAACCAACAATAAACAGTGTATGTATAAATTCTAAACATACAAGCAAAAACATTCATGTATGTGCATAAGAGTTTACACCGTAGAATAAAACATCGCCAAGGCCCGTTACCTGATAGATTCTGACTGAAAAATGTACCTGGACCTGCAGCTCTCTGTTGCCGTTCAGGCTGGTTGGGGGTTTCAGGGGAGGATGATGAAGGTGTGGAGCTTCCTGAACTGGAGCTTAAACTCTGTGTTGTTGTCGGTGTGGAGGCTGATGGGACTGATGGTGTAAAAGGTGCTTTGGTGGTGGTTTTCCAGTTTGGTTTTGAAGCGGTTGGAGCTGTGAAACACATTTCAGATATTTTACAGATGAACTGTTGCTTTTAAAGGAGCATTTATCAGTGTTCACAATGATGGAAATATGCAGCTCCAAATATAATTGTTAGACTAAACATGTTGGGTTATTAGAAACATCAGCAGCTGTCAGTGAACACTTCATTTCATGACTCTCAGTAGAAACTCACCATCTTCAACTCTGAGCTCAAAGTCCTTGATTGAATCTGGAAGAATATTTCTGTCCAACCAAAATCTGTACCGCCCCGAGTCAGACTTAGTCAGCTTTGTGATGCTCACAAGCAGAATTGTTTTAAATTTTGGAAAATGTCCTTCTTCATATTCAATGCTGTATCTGCCACTCTGAGCTCTGTTCTCATCTGTTTCAATGAGAATGTCTTTTCCTTCACATTCTCTCTTACAGAAGATCCTTCTGCTTCCAGACAAAGAGAAGGAGCATTTAACTTTGAAGGTTCCTCCTTCAGTTCCTTTAAGGACTGGGATTTCTGCATTGATGAAACCAGTGTTTCCATCCCGCAGTGCTGTTGGAGAGATGAACAATCAATAGTTACTATCTTCCTGTACGATCCTGCAGTCTGATCATAATGAACAGATCCACAGAGTCACACTGAGAGCTGCTCAGTTCAAACAGTCAAACAGCAATTTGATTCAATGCACATTCAGCCAACAAAGATTGACTTTAACTGGGATTAATGTTTGTAACTAGGGATGGGCATGATTAATCGACGATCGATTAATTGATCATTAAGAATTTGGTCGATGACGTTAATTTTTCATCGATAAAACTAATGCAGGTTCTGTTGCGTAGTGTGAGTCTTGAGGAATGCAATGAATTTCGCTATTTGGCAGCAATTAAACATTTGACCACACAGGGGCAATATTTGAAAAAACACGCCACAGGCCTACTCAGTTACCTGCGAGTTTCAGTGTATTTCAAAAGTAATCATGAAGAGGACAAGGTCACGGCGAAGTGTGGTGTGGGACCATTTTGATTTAAACAATGACTTAGTTCACTGCCAACACTGCGAAGCTGTGTATAAGTACAACCCGGCCACGACTCAAATGATGTACCACTTGAACAACGTGCATCCGACCCTGGCTAGTGGCGGTGCATCCAGCTCTCAGTCTCAACCTAGCATCGACTCGATGTTAGCACGGACACCGAGAAGCTGCGATGCACAACGAGCAGAGAAAATTACCCAAGGGATCTGCAAGTTCATTGAGATGGATATGCTGCCCTTAAGTATTGTTGAGGGCGAAGGTTTTCGAAAACTGATAAACTTATTGGAACCAGCATATCACATTCCATCACGGCGTACCATCACCAGACTGATAGAAACTCACTACGAAGAACGGAAGCAAGAGCTGTTAAAAGAATTGAGCACAACTGAGAGAGTTGCTCTAACCACAGACTGCTGGACCTCTTTAACAGCTGAGAGCTACATCACCATCGGAGGTACCTGTGCATCACGGCAACGTCGGTCCCCTCAGAGCGGGTGTTTTTGGCGGCTGGACTGACGTTCACCAGCCTGCGGTCACGTCTGACCCCAGAGCATGTTAACATGCTCATCTTTCTCAACAAAAATCAGTAGACTGGTGCTGAAGTTGTATGTGAGTTACTGGTTATTTTTTCTGAAGCTTTGTTAATAAGCCTAATTCATTGTTAGGTAGGCTAATCTCTCTCTCACCCTCTTTCTCGACTCCGTGCCTTTTTTGATAGTTTTGAGTTACATTTGGCAAAACCTGTCCGAACTAAGTATTATATATTTTTATATTATTATTATTATTATTATTATTATTATTATTATTATTATTATTGTTATTATGGGAAAAAACGAGGGTCAGTTGTGTTTATGAGCACCGGCTTCTAGCTGCAGGCTCCACTTCTTTAGAGAACAGTAGCGCATATCAAGTGTAACCATTGGATCCGGTTTAACTGCCACAAGAGTTGTTCATCTTGTAATAAAGATCTCAATGAGGCATGTTGAATATAGCATATAAATAGTGAATTTTAATATAAAAATATTAATGATTAATCGGAAATCGATCGTTAATTCTCCAGACGATCGACTAAGACAATTTAATCGAATGCCCATCCCTATTTGTAACCAAAAAAAAGACAAAAGATTATTACACTGAATCTTTCTAATTTCCCTTCAGCCATTCAGCCTGGTCAGCTCATTTCTGCTTGGGAAAGCTAGAAAGTGAATTTCTATTTTTGTTTATTTCTTTGTGAAAATGACTTCTCGGTATGTTAAAAATCAGTTTTTGGATGTATTTGAATTTTGCAGTTCTTCCTCTGGAACTGGTTGAAATCAAATAATAAAGGTTTATTGTTTTTTTTTGTCTTTAGCTCTAAGTACACAAAGTGGTTTAACAAATTGCATGTTGACTAAAGGAAGAGGCATTGACTAGTACCTGTACATTTTAAAGTGACTGAACATCGTGTTCAACCACAGAAACCAACGATGTGTGAGACAGAGACAGATAACAATCAAGCAAGACTGAGATGAGATGCAACAGTCCATTGTTAAACATGATAAATACAGAATGAGTGTACTCACAGAGGAAGAACAAGCAGATCAAAGTGTGACAGACTTTCATGTTGGAGGCTCTGATGGTTTATCGCTGCCTCTCTTCCATCTTCACTGACAAACCAGGAACTCCTCACTTCTCTAAAGTCCCTCCTCCAAACAGCACTGAACTCATCTCTACTACTATCTTGTCTTTTGTCCTGTGCAGAGTCTAGAAATCTCTATCTGAAGTCATTTTTACCATTATTGAGTTCTATAAATGTATTCTTTATTAAATCAAGTGTAAAAATCTGCCATTTTAACCTGTTACCAATATAAATAAACTTGTTTTCAAAACTCTATTTTAAGGAGTGTTTGTGCTGCAGTAGGATGAATGAATAACAATTGATTCTAGAAAATTGTGTCTGAACACCACACATTCATTTTTATTTTATCCTCAAGAAAACAGATAATTTGTGTTACATAAAGCATCAAAAGAGGGAAATGTATTAAAGTCAACATCTTTTTATCCGTTACAACTGGAGCGGTGAGAAATGGTCCAGTAGACTCCCTGAAGCAATCCGAGAACATTACAAGTGTTGAAGCCTCAGCGAGCATTCAGACTGATAACAGATCAAAACATTTTTAAAAGAAGGAGGCAAATAAACTGCACCACATCACTGCAGGCTAGAAGCTTCCATCGATAACAAACTACCTAACACTTTGTACAAAAATGTACCTACATTATACTGAACAACACTTGGATTGTGTTTGTATCTGTGGCCTTGAAGAGAAAAAGGACACCAAAAAAAACAAACAAGGAATCACTTCTCTTTCAACAGTTTACTTTTTTTTATTACTGCATATCTGCAAATCACTGCAGGAATTAGCCACTGAATGGGTTAAATGGTCAGACATGGAAGAACATTTGACAGTAGTTTACTTGTTTGTCTTTGTCAACTTACTTTCTTACAATGCTTTTCTAGAAACTGTGAAACTGAGAGTAAATACCCAAGAAAATGTTCTTAATGTAAATAAAGGGTGCAGAAATGTACTTGCTTGACAGATGGCTGCACAAAATCTGGCAAAAAAAGCGTTTAAGTATCTCTAAATCTCCACAAATAGGAAATAAAACAACAAAATATGCATTGATCTTCATTCATGTAGATGAAACATGTAATATAAACTTACATACAAAGCTTCTCCATGGCAGCGAAGGATTAAAGCTCTGGAGTTCCTACTGTGTAACCTCCAGACAAATGGCTGCTCTCAGCTATGACCCTACCCATGTGATCAGAAAAGGACCAATAGCCAACAGGTACATTCAGCATGAAACAGAAATCAGAGAGGAGACAAAATGATCTGCATCACCACAGGGGGCGCCGTTGAGCTGCTGCACCTCAGAGTAGGGGAACTTTCTGGAAGTCTGGAAGAAAACAAACAGAGGTCAAAGGTTATCACGTACTGACTGTTTTAGTTGTAATAGCTACTGGAAGCTTTTATTTTATCTTGTAAATAAATTCAGTTTCTTCATTTTCATATGTCCATAATCTCCAAAGTCCTGAAAGGTGCTATTCTTATACCAACCTATGTAACTAGTTTTAGATATCAGCTAGCACTGCAGCTAACTCACTGTTTTGTCCACAACCCAAAGATATTCAGTTTACTGTCAAAGTAAAGTAAACTAAAGAAAACAGAAAATATTCACATTTGAGAAGCTGAAGTCAGAGGATTTAGACTTTTCTCTCTTAAAAAATTACAAAAAAGGATGAATCGATAATCCAAATAGTTGGCAATTACTTAATTTTTGACAACTCATCAATTATTTGACTAATCATTGCAGCTCTAATATCAGCAGGGATTCTGTATACTTTGGCAGGTTTGTTGTTTAATGACCAACCAGTGTTAGACACGTTGTCTGTTTTGTGTGAAGCCCCTCAGCTACAAACAGCTGGTTTCTGAGTGTCTTCATTTCAGGATGTGATCTGCTTCATGTGAACTGTAACCTGGGTTTCATAAAAAATATGAAACATAAAGTCCGAAGACTTCCTCCTCAAAACAACGAAAGCTTTAAGCTTGACCTATGATCACAAAGTGGCATGGTTCCTGTTTCTTAAACAGCGAGTTACTCAGAAACACAGACTGACGTCAAATTCTTTTTTGAGAACATGTCCACACACTTCTCTCTATACTGCCACTGCACAAACATTTCCTCTGCTGTACAATAAAGTCAGTACCGAATAAAAATTTGATTTTACGTCAACATTTGTTTTTGTCCATTCTGGGCTACTGTAGAAACATAGTGGTGCCCTCTGTAGATATAAAAGGCTCATTCTAAGGTAACAAAAACATAACAATTCTTATTTTCAGTTGATTATACATTATATATTATTATTCATTTTATATAAGATGTTTTTACTCACGTTCTCCTGAGAACTGGCTGCTGTGAGTGTAAACTGTAGATATTTCTTCAGGAGGAGATGTGCTCTGTCTGTCCTCCTCCTGCAGGGAGAGAACAGGAGTTTGGTTTGTGTTCAGATCAGCTGGTTTCACAAACACTAATAACATTGGCTCAAATTTACTGAAACTCACCTCGTTGAAATGAACATACTCCACAGTAGGTTCTGAAAAACATGCGGTTCAGAAGATCAGGTCCACTGTTAAAACATCTGGCTTAGTCAAAGAGACACATACAGCCCATTTCTATCAGAACGTTCCAGTAACTAAACATCCCTGTTGGTGTTCTGTCGTGTGACTCTGATTTTGGATGAAATAAATGAATGAAGATGACACTGAAACCTTTATTTAGTTCCTCATAGGAACAGATACCATCTGGTTTCATGTTCATCTTGCTACTGTAGATTGCTTAGATAGCCTGCTAGCACTAGTAATCACTAACTGTTGTTTTGAGTTCTTTTATCTGGCACTACAATTGCAACAAGGAACCAAAGCTTAAACATCTATTTTACTACATCTATAATATGCCTGTGCTGGAAGGGCACTCCTGATCAATGATAAACATTAGAAGCAATGAGAGAAAGCTGCTTCGACAGGTCAGAAGAGATGAAAATGGTAAGTTTGAGAATTCTGTTTCCTGCAGTCTCACCTTTGGCTTCACTGGCCCTCTTCCTGCAGAATATCAGCACAGCCGCTGATAATACGATGATCATGACGACCACAGTCAGACTCACATACTGCAGCACACCTGTGGTTGTTTGAGCGGCAGAATACGTTTGTTTTAAATGTTTTGGTTCATGAAATGTATCTGGGAGTCTGCATAACTGAAATCTCATAAAAACAGTAGTAAAAGTAAAAGTAGTAAGCAGTAAACATAGGTTGCATAATATGTGGGAGCCTAGAGACCACTGACACTGACGCCATTTAACTCTATAGTGTGATTCAGTTAACTAGGAGACTTACATGTTTCTGAGCTGTGGAAAATGGAAGAACACACTATTTGAATGCTGTAAATGTACCTGGACCTTGACCTGGAGCTTGAGCTGACTGTCGCTGTTCAGACAGTATGGGGGTTTCAGGCAAGGATGATGAAGGTGTGGAGCTTCCTGAACTGGAGCTTAAACTCTGTGTTGTTGTCGGTTTGGAGGCTGATGGGACTGATGGTGTAAAAGGTGCTTTGGTGGTGGTTTTCCACTTTGGTTTTGAAGCGGTTGGAGCTGTGAAATACATTTCAGATATTTTACAGATGAACTGTTGCTTTTAAAGGAGCATTTATCAGTGTTCACAATGATGGAAATATGCAGCTCCAAATATAATTGTTAGACTAAACATGTTGGGTTATTAGAAACATCAGCAGCTGTCAGTGAACACTTCATTTCATGACTCTCAGTAGAAACTCACCATCTTCAACTCTGAGCTCAAAGTCATCGTAAGAATCTGTAGATCTGTCCACCTTACATCTGTACCACCCTGAGTCAGACTTAGTCAGGTTTGAGATGCTCACATCCATAGAGATAATAGATGGTTGAGGATCTAAGTGTTTATATTGGATGCTGTATCTGCCTCTCTGAGCTCTGTCCTCATATGTTTCAATGAGAATGTCTTTTTCTTCACATTCTCCCTTACAGAAGATCTTATGTTTTCCAGACAAAGAGAAATCAAAGTGACACGAAGCTCTGATGTTTTCTCCTTCAGTTCTTGTATAGACGGAGGTGTCACTATGGAGGCAGGCAGTGTTTCCATCCCACAGTGCTGTTGGGAAGATGAACAATCAATAGTTACTATCTTCCTGTAAGATCTTGCAGTTTGATAATAATGAACAGATCCACAGAGTCACACTGAGAGCTGCTCAGTTCAAAGTCATTGTTTACTGAAGTATTTGCATTTGGGAACAACTGAACAAACCATATGTGAGATCCAGTTAAAAGATACTGAAAAGGCTAGAAAGTGAGTTTTTATGGGGGTTTTTTGTGTGTGTGTGTGTGTGTGTGTGTGTGTGTGTGTGTGTGTGTGTGTGTGTGTGTGTGTGTGTGTGTGTGTGTGTGTGTGTGTTGGTTTGGTCAAATTCCCATCTCTCATGTGAAAATGACTTTGTGAAAACATTTTGGTTGTATTGCTTAATATATTCACGGCCCAACCCAGAATCACCAAGGGTACCGTACTACTGGGTTGCATGGCCATGCATGCCGATTCCGTGGGTGCTCCAGGGCTCAGCACCCACAGGGGATGGCCGATTCTAAGCTTTCTCTATTACTCTGTATAATGTAATCCCTTTGCTCAACTTATGAGACTGCAACAGTCTAAATACAACAAAAAGCAATAATTAAGCTGTAAAACAAGTACAGCAGAACAATCGGGTTAACCCTAACCCCGTCTTCACATTTTGAGATCACTTAGTATTAGTACATTTTAACTTAATTCATACTGGACATCAAGTTTAACCACAGAAACAAACATCATGTTGGACAGTCCTCTGTGAAAACAGTTAAACACATGCTGCGTAAAGCTAACTGACCAACTAGGAAAACCAAAGACAAATCACATAATAAAGAGAAAGAATGATAGAAACAGAAGGAGAGTGTACTCACAGAGGAAGACGACGCAGATCAAAGTGTGACAGACTTTCATGTTGGAGGCTCTGATGGGTTCACGCTGCATCTCTTCTGTCTTCACTGAAAAATTAGGAACTTCTCATTTCTCTAAATCATGGAGTCCCTCCTCCGAAACCACAAACTCAACTTTCCTTTCCTCTTTCTGATTCTTTGTTCCACAGCAGAGTCAAAAACAAATTGTAAACAAACTGCATGACTACAGTGTGTCCACACGGACAGAAACCCCCTCTCACTGTCCATTTAGTCCATTATTGAGTTATATAAATGTCTTTCTTTCTTAAAAACAAGTAAATAAATCTGCTGTTTCAATAAAGCCCAACTTATTCAAAGAGTTCTTTCTTTTGTTTTTTTACAACAGGAGAGTTTTTGCTTTAGTAGAAAAAAAGCGAATGAATGAATGTGTGAAAAACATTTTATTATGTACTGAAGAAAAGAGATCATTTTTGTAACATGAAGTAACACGAGAGGGTGAACAATTAAAAGTCAAGATCTTTTGTCTTTACAGAAGAACTGAAGTTGTGAGAAAGAGTCCAGTACAATCCCTGAAGCAATTTATTTCAAATGTTAAATCCTGAGAATTTAGCCACATAACATTATCTGCATCACCACAGGGGGCGCTGTTGAACCAGGCAGCTGCACTGTTGGAGCTCAGAGTAGGTGAGTTTACTGGAAGTCTGGAAGAAAACAAACACTCACTGACTGTTTTAGTCTGAATAACAACTGGAAGCTTTATTTTTTTTAAGTAAAAAACAAAAACAATGTCAGCAGATTATCAGAATTTTAAAAGAATAAAATATTTCTATCAGCATCTTAAATCCAGTATTGAACACTGTCAGTTGTGTGTGAAGTTAATTTTCACAGTTTCATGGTTCTCTTTTATTTCCAGTGTGAAGTTTATTATAGAACCAGAGGTTGTTGCAGCCGGCCTCTAGTGGCCACTGGTGGTACTGCAACTCAATGCACTTCCACACAACTGTAGTGCAGGCTGTTTAAACAACTACAGGCTGATGTTTCAGTGTGGGTTATTCATATTTTATGGTTCTATATTTCAGCTCAAACATGCATGTTAACAGTCAGTTACAATAACTGCCCTTCCTGTAGTCCCAGGACAGGAAGCCCCTCAGCTGCAGTCAGCTGGTTGTTGAGTTTACTCACCTGTTTGGTCACATAAGCATCGTTTCAGCATGTGTTCTGCTTCATGTGAACTGTAAACAGGCTTTTATCTACTCATTTTTTATTTGATATTGAACCCTGTATCTCAGTACACAACCTTTCCCTCTCTCTTTGCAATGAAACATTCAGTCCGAGGACTTCCTCCTCAAACCCACAGAATCTTGTAGCTTGAGATATGATCACAAACTGGCCGTGTTCCCGTTTCTTAAACAGACTGCACGTTACTCAGAAACATACTGACGTAAAGTACTTGTGAGACCACATTTATAAAACATGTCCACAGTCTCTCTATATTGCCACTGTAAATCATCCCTCTGCTGTACGTTCTTATCTACTCAACTTATTATAGTGGGTGAAGTCTAAAGACACTGTTGTCTAAACCCAAAGTTAAATGAGCAGTGTGTAGGATTTAGTGTCATCTAGTGGTGAGATTGCAGATTGTAACCAACTGAAACAACCTGTTTGGTTTGTCCTGGACCTTTAAACCCCTACCACAGTTTGAACTCACCTTACTCTGAGAACTGGCTGCAGTGAATGTAAACTGTAGACATTTCTTCAGGAGGAGATCTGCTCTGTCTGTCCTCCTCTCTGATCCTGGCCTGCAGGAAGAGAACAGGGCTTTGTGAAACCAACTGATTTTAACACAAACCAAACATTTAAAACATTCAATGACATTAACATACTCCACAGGAGATTCTGAAAAACGTGAAGTTCAGAAGATTAGGTCCACTGTTAAAACATCTGGATTAGTCACAGAGAAACATAAAGCCCATTTCTATCACAACGTTCCAGTAACTAACAGAAACTAAATATCTCTGTTGGTGTTTTCACCGAATCTGAGGAACTGTAAAGATTAGGCAAAATGGACCGATGACAAATTAAAAACTAGTTTTTACACACAAGAAAGTGCTGGCTCATTTTGTGGATGAAAATACTACTACTTTTATAAAACACCGCTTGCATGCATAAGGCAGTCCTGATCTGTGATAAACATTATTAGCAGTAAAAGGGAACTGGTTTGATACATAAAATGTGTTTTTTGTCAGAAATGTTTTACATGTTCAGTTGTGTTTGTTCGGTTTCCTTCATCCTCACCTTTTGGTTCACTGGCCCTCTTCCTGCAGAATATCAGTGCAGCTGCTGATAATACAATGATCGTGATGACCACAGTCAGACGTACATACAGTTGCACACCTGGGAATGTTTGAGCAGGAGAACAAGTTACTTTTACACTTCCTGGTTCATTAATGTATCTGGGAGTCTGCACAACTGGAGGCCGCTCAGTCAGTCCGTAAAGTTGAAGGAAGTCGACATTTATGAGTAAAAAAACATTTCACATTTATTGCAGTTTGTTTCAGATAACTAGGAGCCTTTTGAATGCTGTAAATGTACCTGGACCTGCAGCTCTCTGTTGCTGTTCAGACAGTATGGGGGTTTCAGGGGAGGATGATGAAGGTGTGGAGCTTCCTGAACTGGAGTTTAAACTCTGCGTTGTTGTCGGTGTGGAGGCTGATGGGACTGATGGTGTAAAATGTGCTTTGGTGGTGGTTTTCCAGTTTGGTTTTGAAGTGGTTGGAGATGTGAAACATGAAAAACACAATGAAACAATCAGATACTGATTGTACAGATACAAAGAACTCTGTGGTAACATTTCATTGAAATAACACAAATTTAATCATACAGCTAAATGCAGGAGGTCATCAATGTGTTTGCTGCAACAATATTCAAATCAACTGCAGTGTGTCCATTTGTGTGACAGTTTGAGTTGATCAGATATTTTACAGATGAACTGTTGCTTTTAAAGGAGCATTTATCAGTGTTCACAATGATGGAAATATGCAGCTCCAAATATAATTGTTAGACTAAACATGTTGGGTTATTAGAAACATCAGCAGCTGTCAGTGAACACTTCATTTCATGACTCTCAGTAGAAACTCACCATCTTTAACTCTGAGCTCAAAGTCCTCGGTTAAATCTCGTGACCATTTTATGTCCAACCAACATCTGTACCGCCCCGAGTCAGACTTAGTCAGGTTTGTGATGCTCACATACAGAAGTGCAGATCCATCAGTTCTTTCTTTATATTCAATGCTGTATCTGCCACTCTGAGCTCTGTCCTCATTTGTTTCAATGAGAATGTCTTTTCCTTTACATTTTCTCTTACAGAAGATCTTCCTTCTTCCAGACGAAGAGAAGGAGCATTTAACTGTGAAGTTTCCTCCTTCACTTCCTGTATGGACGAGGATTTCTGCATTGATTAGACGAATGTTTCCATCCCGCAGTGCTGTTGGAAAGATGAACAATCAATAGTTACTATCTCCCTGTACGATCCTGCAGTCTGATCATAATGAACAGATCCACAGAGTCACACTGAGAGCTGCTCAGTTCAAACAGTCAAACAGCAATTTGATTCAATGCACATTCAGCCAACAAAGATTGACTTTAACTGGGATTAATGTTTATAAAAGAGCAAAAATGATGATCCCACTGAATAGTTTGGTTTCCCTTCAGTCACTCAGTCTGACATTGTGTTCAGGTTAGCTGATTTCTGTTTGGGAGGAACTCAGCTGTTGGTTTTGTCTGAACCAATCACACAAGCTGTTGCTGAGAGCAGTTAACCTTATTCTTTAACATCAAACAAAACTATTCACTAAAAAAGAATCATACCATTTAAGACGTGTTGTTTGTGCAAGTCCACTTACAACCTGTACAGCTGTGTGTCCCTCATCTCACCATTCCTTAGAGCTTTTTTCTGTCTCTGTTTGTCATGGATGTAGCTAGGTAGTTAGTAACGTCTCCACACAGCAGATTCTCTTATTGTTACTAATTGATCCCCATTTTCAAATTAATGCGGCTGAATTTATTTAATTATTTACCTAAACATTTGCATTTGTGAACAACTGATAAAAAAGAACACCTGAGAAAGACACAAAATGCAGTTCAAATATCCTGAAAAAGTTAGAAAGTGAATTGTTATTTGTGTACGTGTTACTTTTTTTTTCTTTGTGTTTGTTTAGCGCAACTTCCCATTTCTCATGAGAAAATTACTTTTGAATGTCTCTCTGCATGTTAAATTAGTTTTTTTGTGTGTTGCTTAACACATTCACAGCTCTCAGTTTGTCAGCAAGGTTTCTAACTGTGGTTCACTGCTGCAGTTCTTCCTCTGGAGCTGGTTGAAATCAAATAATAAAGGTTAATTGTTTTCTCTCTTTTGCTCTAAGAAGGTTGACCAAAGTGGTTTAGCAAACTGCAAGTTAACTAAAGGAAGAGGCATTGACTCTGCACAGTTCTGAAAAAGTTGCTAAGATGTATTTTAGTGCAACTTGGAGGTTTCTATATTACTATGTAAGAAATAATCTTTCTGCTACTTCTATGAGACTGCAACAGTCAGCAGTAACAATTAAACTATAAAACATGTACAGAAGAACAATAGTTGGTTGCAGATTGGCAGGCTAAGATTTTGAGGAGATAACTAGTACCTGTACATTTTAAAGTGACTCTGAACATCGTGTTCAACCACAGAAACCAACGATGTGTGAGACAGAGACAGAGAACAATCAAGCAAGACTGAGATGAGATGTGACACAACAGAGTCCATTTTTTAACATGCTACACAAAGCTAACTGACCAACTATAAAAAAATTACAGAAAACTGATAAAATAAAGAGAGAGAATGATAGAGACAGAAGGAGAGTGTACTCACAGAGGAAGAAGAAGCAGATCAAAGTGTGACAGACTTTCATGTTGGAGGCTCTGATGGTTTATCGCTGCCTCTCTTCCGTCTTCACTGGTAAACCAGGAACTCCTCACTTCTCTAAATGATGGAGTCCCTCCTCCAAACAGCACTGAACTCTTCTCTACTCTTTATTAGTCTTTTGTCCTCTGCAGATCCAATTTTAAACGTTATGTATGATTTTACATTAACATGCTGCTTCATTGTAACTTAACGTAGCTTTAAAGTCATATTATAGTAACATAAATCAGTATAGTACATCTACACTACTAGAAATCTCTATCTGAAGACATTTTGTCCATTACTGAGTTCTATAAATGTATTGGGGAAAAAAAAACATTTTTATTTTATACTCAAGAAAACAGATCATTTGTGTAACATACAGCATCAAAAGAGGTTGATCTATTAAATTCAACATATTTTTAAAGCGTTACAACTGGAGCGGTGAGAAATGGTCCAGTAGACTCCCTGAAGCAATTTCTGCATTCAGACTGATAACAGATCAAAACAGGCTTTTTAAAAGGAGGCAAATAAACTGCATCACATCACTGCAGGCTAGAAGCTTCCATCGATAACTAACCAGCTGTTTGTAATTATAATTTGATATTATAGTATAAAGTTAACTTTTCACTCTGCTGATGGTGTGCCTCTTGCATTGTCTATTTATCTGCATTCTTCATGTCCTCAGCTGTGTGCTGCTGCCACAAGGGGGCACTGGAGTAACAGTCAAGAACAGATGGTATGTGTAAAAAAGAGTCAACTGTTTACAAGTTCAGTTTCAAATGCAAATGGAAAGTTTAAGTTTTTGTTTCAGAATGCCTTCATTTTTTAATATTGGCATTAAATTATTACTATGTCTCAGTGCTCGGGTATCCTGCAGTTTGTGTTACATTGTAATAGGATGGTTACTGAAACTGACTGTATATGGCAAAGCCCCACCTAGAACACTTGTCACCAGCCACCACCGCAAACAACCTACCGCTTCCTACAAAAAAGGCGGATTTGATTTATATCTGTGATCTTGAAGGAAAAGGGATTGAAAAAAAAGAAAAAATTATCCCAGAAACTTCAAACATGGTCATCTTCCTCATAGACATTCATCCACACTTTATAAAGACCAAACTTCCTGTTTCAACACTACATTTTACTTTTTCTATTACAGCTTTTCTGCAAATCACTACAGAAATGAGGCACTGAAAGGGTCAAATGGTCAGCTGGGAAGTAAAGTTGAGAGCAGTTTACTTGAAGATCTGCGTCAGTTAGAATGATGGCTGCGCTACATGTGGCAAAAAAGGATTTATTATAAGGAAATTGGGCGCCACACCACTTTCATACAAACTTGATTCAATCACTGCAGACTTTTTCCTGAGATGAAGCAAAACTAAAATCAGGAAAAACAGAACTTCAGAGAACAAGTTCCCCACATACAGTATATTACAGAAATAAAGACTCAATTGATTAAAAAAAAATAGCTTATTACGCCTACAAACACTGAAGTTAAAGAAATTACATAACATTTATAGTGGAATTAATAAATTTTGCTTGTTTACATTTGAAGTCAAAAATAAAAAATGAAACCTATTCAGTGGATCAGCAGGGTTGTGCAGAGTTGCAGTGTAACAGTTACACATTCTGATAAACCAATCTTACAGTTTAGTTCAACTGAAAATAAAAGTAGCAGAGAAATGAGTTAGAGCTCTGTGTTTATACAAGATGAATAATATATATTTAATCACTAAGCTCATATAAATTTACGAAAATATAAAATAATAATAACAAAATACGCATCATTTCTCATTCAGTAATATAAACGTACACACAAAGTTTCTCTGTGGCTCAACAGGCAGCGAAGGATTAAACGGAGAAAGTTCTGGAGCTCCTTACTGTGCAAACCTCCACACAAATGGCTGCTCTCAACTATGACCCTATCCATGTGATCATAAATGACCAACCAACCACTGGGAGGTGCTCAAATGCTTTTCACCTTCATCTAACATAAACCAGAGAGTGGACCACATTATCTGCATCACCACAGGGGGCGCTGTTGAACCAGGCAGCTGCACTGTTGGAGCTCAGAGTAGGTGAGTTTACTGAAAGTCTGGAAGAAAACAAACAGAGGTCAAAGGTTATCACTCACTGACTGTTTTAGTCTGAATAACAACTGGAAGCTTTATTTTTTTAAAGTAAAAAACAAAACAATGTCAGCAGGTTATCATAATTTTAAAAGAATAAAGTATTTCTATCAGCATCTTAAATCCAGTATTGAACACTGTCAGTTGTGTGTGAAGTTAATTTTCACAGTTTCATGGTTCTCTTTTATTTCCAGTGTGAAGTTTATCATAGAACCAGAGGTTGTTGCAGCCGGCCTCTAGTGGCCACTGGTGGTACTGCAACTCAATGCACTTCCACACAACTGTAGTGCAGGCTGTTTAAACAACTACAGTCTGATGTTTCAGTGTGGGTTATTCATATTTTATGGTTCTATATTTCAGCTCAAACATTCATGTTAACAGTCAGTTACAATAACTGCCCTTCCTGTGGTCCCAAGACAGGAAGCCCCTCAGCATCAGTCAGCTGGTTGTTGAGTTTACTCACCTGTTTGGTCACATAAGCATCATTTCAGCATGTGTGCTGCTTCATTTAAACTGTAAACAGGCTTTTATCTACACATTCTTTATTTGATATTGAACCCTGTATCTCAGTACACAACCTTTCTCTCTCTCTTTGCAACGAAACATTCAGTCCGAGGACTTCCTCCTTAAACTCACAGAATCTTGTAGCTGGAGATTTGATCACAAACTGACCTTGTTTCAGTTTCTTAAACAGAAAGCACGTTACCATTTTTAAAACATATCCACAGTCTTCCCTCTATACTGCCACTGTAAATCATCCCTCTGCTGTACGTTGTTATCTACTCAACTTATTATAGTGGGTGAAGTCTAAAGACACTGTTGTCTAAACCCAAAGTTAAATGAGCAGTGTGTAGGATTTAGTGTCATCTAGTGATGAGATTGCAGATTGTAACCAACTGAAAAACAACCTGTTTGGTTTTTCCTGGACCTTTAAACCCCTACCACAGTTTTTAACTCACCTTATTCTGAGAACTGGCTGCAGTGAATGTAAACTGTAGACATTTCTTCAGGAGGAGATCTGCTCTGTCTGTCCTCCTCTCTGATCCTGGCCTGCAGGAAGAGAACAGGGCTTTGTATTAAAATCAGCTGGTTTCACAAACACTAATAACGCTCATGGGCCCAAATTTACTCAAACTCACCTCGGTGACATTAACATACTCCACAGCAGGTTCTGAAAAACATGCACTTCAGAAGATTAGGTCCACTGCACTTTACTACTTAACTTGTATGCATTCATTTCTGTTAGAGAACTTGATCCAGGCTCATAAAACATGTAACTTGGGGGAAAATATAATTTTTCCTTGTAAATAAACTTTCTCTTTCCAAGGTAAGGTCAAATTGCACATGAATTGTGTTAAACATAGGCTAACTTCTTTGAGTGTGAAGAAAATATGTGAGTATATTTATTTCACGTGACAT